CAGGGCAGTGTCCCCTCTTCCTCCAGCCGGGGTGTCTCAGAGGTTTGTCACTTCCTTGCTCCTCAGTTCCTGGCTTGCAACCTGTTCTTGGCTGTGCTCCCTGATGCTGAGGAGGTCACTGCTCTTTCCACCTTGCTGGTGACTCAACCATTTTCTTGTTTATGGGTACTGATGGATGATTCCAACAACATAGTCCATGTCAAGGGTCTTGCACCTATTCCCGGTCTTTGTGTCTTGGTGCCACTCGGAGGCAGGGCAGTGTCCCCTCTTCCTCCAGCCGGGGTGTCTCAGAGGTTTGTCACTTCCTTGCTCCTCAGTTCCTGGCTTGCAACCTGTTCTTGGCTGTGCTCCCTGATGTTGAGGAGGTCACTGCTCTCTCCACCTTGCTGGTGACTCAAGCTGGATTTCCAGTTGGTGTTCCTGAAGGTTTATAGTGGAAACCAATCTGCAATCAGTCTGTTCCTCCAGGCTTGCTCTTCATCATACTGAATTCTGTTTAGGATCAGTCAGTAGGGGACCACTAACTGGTTCAAGGATCATAGATAGCCATCAAAATGCTTTTTTCTCCATCTAAGAGATACCTTCTGACAGGCTGAGTTGTCAGCCTTGTCCTCCACCTAGAGCCCCCAATCCTCATCTGCATTTCTAGGCCTGAGAAATCAGTTTTGCCCAGCCTGTATACTTGTACTTCCTAAACCTCTGCCACTGTCAGGTCAGAAATCCCTCTGGTCCTGTGCACTGTGAGTACACTGAGAGGGGGGTGAGGTGTCTTGTACTGCAGTGGGTTGAAGTTTAAGTCCCATGTGTTCCTTTCTCCTATGCTCATGGTAAGAGAAGTAGCAAAGAATGTGTGAAGTTAAGGAGAAATGGGCATTCAGTCATCTTTGTGTGAAGATGGTACAAAAATTGTTTTGTTTCTTGTTTTTACGTTAGCGGTTCAGGTCTTGTCTGCCCTGTTTGTTTTTTATTCACTGGAGAATTAATACTATTATGACAGTGCAAGTAAAAGCTGATGAATTTCAACTTGAATTGCTTTTCCTACAAAATGTTTTAAGCAATCTGTATTTAGCTAACATTTATCTAACTCCACTCCCAACCAACAGTTGGAAGAAAAAAAAATCTTTGCAGTTCAACACCTCCTCCTCTGCCTATTTCACTAGAAGCTGCAAAACCTCCCACTCTACTTCTCTAGATCTTCTGAGGAGACCTCTGCCAAAACACAACTTGATGTTGGATTCTTTTTTTTTTTTTAAGTATGAAAAGCAGAAAACAAAATATTTCCAGCTTCTCATACACAAAGAATCAGAACAGGGCATGAGTCCAGCTTGCTTCCCTGCCTGTATTTCCTGAATGTGTACCCTCCCAGAGGCGACCAAGGCTCTCTGCTACAGCTCTATCCACCAGCCTTGCTGCAGCTCTCCGTATCAAGCTATCTCCAATGTGACCCTATTCTTTAGGGTGGGTATCAAAATTGGGACTTTCCCAGGCTTCTGGATGTTTGGCACAAAGGAAATACTCTCTTTGTGAGCCTGAGACAAACTCCTCAGTGATCACCAGCCTACAGCGAAGACTCTGGTTCTTCCTTGTAGGCATTGTTTCTACAGGCCCTGACCACTTCTCATGCAATTTGTGGGTGTAGAGGGTTTTTCTGAAGTAGACCATGGACAGGCTTCCCAAGGCTTTCCCAGGAGGTGGCAGGCAGGGAGCATCTGCCCCACAGTCTCCTGACAGGATCAGGGAGAGGCTGTGCTGCAGTGAAATGGGCTGTGCCCAGGGCTTGGGAGCAGGCCTCCTGTTCCACTGTGTGAAGGAAATGGAAGAGGCTCCCAGCCCAGGCTCCTGGCCAGCCTGTGGGTGAGGTCCAGTTGCACAATTGCACGAGCCCTGTGTAATGTCCCTGCCTGCTGTGGGGCCATGCCTGTGCCAGGGTCACTGGGCAGAGTGCAGGGCAGCAGCCTGCACATGGCAGGCCAGGGCCAGCAGCAGGAAACTGCAATAGTAGTCTTTTAAAGAGGTTCTTTTTCCTGTCTAGAAACCCTTTTCCTTAAAACCTGCTGATCAGTTGGGAAACTTCACTGCAGGCTCCTAACAGCAGCCAAGCTGTCTCTTTTCCTACCACACACAAGAAGTTAGCTAAGTCTGTTCTCATTGACATGTAGGCAGTGTCAGCTCCAAGAAGACCTTCAAAATTTTTTTTTTCAGTCCACAGGTTTCTTTACCTATAAGACCACAGCTTCCAGGAAGGCTGTTTTCTCTTTCCAAACTTTACTTGCCACAAGTGGGCAATAGCTCTGATGTGTCGTTCACATTGCACAATTTGTCTCTGCTCAGCCAAAGCTGCAGGTACAGTCTGGGACAGCTCAAAGTAGATTTGCCTGGGGTTGGTCTTACCCCTACCTTGTTTCCAGTCTCTAGACATCCTGAAGGATGTCATAGGATGCCTTCTTGCATGAAAAATCTTTGATTCACGCCTCTGAATTGGCTTCACAAGTTGATTGTCTTGCTACTGTTGCCTCACAGGGCAGCTGCAGCCATAGTTTGACTGATGGTCAAGAAATACCAATACTTCCAGTTACCTCTTAACAAAGTGTTGTGAATTCATCAGTGTTTCATGAAACACTCATCAGGTGCTGCAAAGTAAAATTAAATACTCAGTATCTGTAAGCAGGGGAATGCAGAGACCTGATGCATCTCTGGATTCAGCACATGTCCAATGTGCTGGAATTTTTCACTGGAAAAATGAAATGTCTGCACCCCTGCTCTTCCAATTTCTCCTCAAATACCCTTTGATCCTACTATGTGAAACCTACTTCAAGCTTGACTTCTTTTGCAACCTCTCCACAAGCAATAGTGCAACCTGACAAACATCCCACATCTGGGGATGTCCCAGGACAGCTCAGCTGCCACTGTAATGCCTCCAGGCTAAGCACACAAATCTGTACAGAAATATCATTACTTTAGGAAGCATAAGTGAAACCACCCCCCCATCACTGATAGGTCCTACCACTGGTGTAAGCCCTCTTCCCCATCACAAAGGCTGTACAAAGAGCCCCTCTCCAGAAATGCTTTTTGTGAGTTTGCAGGTTGGAGGTGGTGGCTGCTGCCTTCCTGAGTTGATTGTTCTCTGGAAATCACCTTGGTAACTACATTAGAACAACAGTCCTGGAGACCTGTCCTTTCTGAGCAGCTTGTAGAGTAAAATTTGACAGCTTGCAAGCTAAATATTGTGTTTCCTGATCTGTCCTGCCTGCTGGGAAATAGAGGGAGAGGTAGGACACTGAGCCTTGTGCATGGCCTGAGATCATCCTGCCTACTGTTAGTCACCAAACCGTGGTCTAGAAAGTAGGAGCAGGGTTCCTTGTACAGTTGGTTATGAGAGAGGGATCCCCTCTGCTCAGCCCTAATCTGGCTGTGGTGCCCTGCTCAGCACCCATCCTGAAGCAGCTGAGGGAAGGCAGGATCCCTCTGCACAGCCACCTTCCCTGGGAGCAGGCTGGAGGTGATGGATGAGTGTGTGACTGCATTTCTCACCACGCTGCCCATGGTGTGCTGTGAATGGAATTGCCATTAACCTCTGCCCTGTTAACTGCTGCTCCTTTGTCTTAATTACACACACAGGAGGTGATGGTGCCTCACAGGGCTGTACACAGTGCTGACAGAGCATGGGGCTGATGTGCACTCCTTCTGGACTGAAACCAGAGGGAAGCCCTTCTGAAACAAATCCCAGCCCTTTAAAAGCAGAGGGGACTAGAAAGCTCTGAGAGTAACCAAGTTGTCTGGCTTTGACAGAAGATTTTGTCCTGAACCAAAGGAGAAACTTCATCAAAAATTTTAATAATCCCCACCAGTGGAGCATTTGCTGGGAAGATGGTGTTCCATGAGCACATTTTGTGCTTTGGTTGTTTAATTTTAACATTTTATTGAGTAACTCAATTTCTCCTCTTTTCTGCCTTTAGGGTGATGTACTGTGAAGGCTGCATGATGTGGAGACAGATGGAGGGAGGGGACTTCTGTGTGACCGTGTCGTTCTTCACCTCTTGGCTTTCTCTTTTCAAGAAAAAATTCAGTTTGAAACAAAAAATGCAGTTAGTGCTTGTTGTCAGAAACACCAGTATAAAACCTTGTTCTTTTTTAAAACTTCTTGTCAGCTGGAATTGTCATCTTGACCTTGCCACTTCAGCCAGGCTCCTGGAGTCAAATAGGTGGGTCACAGGCTTTGCCTCAGGCCAGGTTTGGGCACCTGTGAGCATCAGTGGAGGTGGATGATGTCTCCAGAGGTGACAGAGGTGTGTGCTGAGACCACCCCATGTCCCTAGAGAAGGCAAGCGTGAGAAGGGCTCAGGACTGCAAAGCACCAGGGCAGACAATAGATTTGTGATGCAGGGGAGGCAACTCAGGGATAATTAACCTCATGCAATGAGACTGAAAGGCAATGCACATAAAACTGCTGAAGGGAAAGAGTCTTTCCCTGCTGTACGGGTTGGGGAAATCATTATCTCAGGGCTGTGGGGGCAAGTCTGAGAGCTGAGCAGGCAGGCTGCTGCCCCTCATCCCTGCTGCAGGGGCCAGGTTCAGGCAAGATGACAGGGAAAGCAATTTTTATTTTCTTTCATGTACTGGAGAATACATAAGTAATGTCGAATTCTAAAGGTTTCCACACAAGTTGCTGTCACTGAGGCACAACTTTTGAGATTCAACTGCAGTTGTAGTTGTACAGTTTCCTGGGCTTTGCTGGGAAGGTCAGCAGTCCCTGGAATAGCAGACCTAAGCAGTGCTGCTGTGTGGCTGACCTGGGACAGGCTGGGTGGCCACAGCTCCTGGCACGCTGTCACACCGCTCCATCCCCGGCCCGGGGGAGTTTAAGGGCAACACTCCCTTCCCTGCTGACATTTCAGCTGGGTGCAGATGGCACGAAGTTGTCCTCTGTTTAATAGGGAAGGTCATGTCTGGGCACTGTTTCAGGCTCTCTGCAATTCCCAGTTGCTTTAGCAAATGGAACAGCTTGAGAAGGATGTTTCCATTACAGCTTGGGCTGCTAAAATAGCTGTTTTCTGATGGCCAATGGAGGCAGGGCAGCAGGTTGGGGATTAATCCACAGTGTTTGAGAGGGTTGCATTTTATTATTTTTATTATTTTATATTTTACTCTATTTAAAGTTTTGGTTTTTTTCCTGCAGTCTCCTGACATCGTGTACTTACTTTTACAGAAATATGACAAAGCATTTAAATATTAATGGAAGACTTGGAATGGAGATGTATGACTGGGCATGGCTCGTTCACAGGCAAAGCTGGTTCAAAAAACTCCAGAGGTAAATCAAGCATGTGAAATTTGAGATTTTGTTAAAAATCTGGCTGAGTTTGCAAACAGTATATCTAGCTCTATAAAGACTTAAGGGGTTTTTTGGTTGTCAAAATAGCTCAACCAGATGGCAATAGGCTATTTTTGGACTTCAGTTACATAATTTTGCTAAATATTTTTCCTTTCTCCTCCAATTCAAAATTATCTGTAACTCAGACTGTATTGATGCTGTGTATGGCAGCCTCCTGACAGAAAGGCATTCCCAATGTGTTCCTTGTGTTAGGGAGGAGCCAGAGCCAGGCTGTCTGTGAGGGGAGAGGAGCCAGGAGCTGAGATGGCCCCAGGTGGGATGTGCCCTCCCCAAAGTGGTCCCCAAGGACCAAAAAGAGGGACAGATGGTTGTGGCATCCACGGGCAGATCCAAACACAGCAACACCAAGGAGGCCAGGTCAGGCAGAGTGTGGATGTGGCTTCCAGGTGAGGAAATTATGGGCCAGGAAGGAATTTTGGTGCCCAGGGAGGAGGTGCATGGACCATTCAAAGTATCTAAGGGGAGAAACAATGCTTGGGAGAAGAGGAGGTGATGGATATGCAGTTCAAAAGGGCCTGGAGGGGTCAAAACATTTAACCAAAGCAGAGGGACACTGCTTTAGGGGGAGGCATGAAGCTGTTTGTGCTCCTCACACCATTCTCCTGCACCAGAGTATTATGGGTTTTAGAAGAAAAAATTATTTTGTTCCCTTAGTTTTAACTATCTATTGCCACAACTAGAATGGTGAGAAGGGAAGAAACTGCTCTTTTTCAGTCTTGAAGTGACAGAACTGCAAAGCTCCAACTGGAGCAAGCCTTGCCTGAGAGCATAAGGGCCTGCTGACAAGGTAGAAATCACAATTCTCTGAAAACAATGTAAATAGCTTTTAAAGAGCTTTTTGCCTCTTTGAGAGACCTCAATTTGAAAACTCATTTACATTTTAAAAGAGAAGCTTTAAACAAGTTTTAATAAATAACAGTTAAGAACTGTTTTCTGAATTTTGCTTTAATAATGTAAAAAAAAAATCACGTTGCCAGCATTCTATTACTCCATAAAAATAACTAGAACTCATGATAAAACAAATAAAAATTGTAACTGGTTTTCCCCTTTCCTAGTAATATTTTCCTGTGGACTTGGTCATACGCATGCATTTGTCATGGGTTCCCAGTTCATCACAGAGAACACCAAATAACTCCTAGCTCTAGACCAAGTTGGAAGTACTAATAGATTATTTTCCACCAGAAAAAAAATATTTTTTTTGCAGGAAGAGTTTTTTTTTAATGACTATATCTTGATAATCATACTGATATTATTTGAATGAAATTGCTGAGAATAGAGAAGAGGTCAGAAAGGCTTCGTTCTCAAATTTGGCTTTTATATCAAAACAGATGCCCTAAAATTATTTTCTTGAGAATTTGACTCAAATTTTTGATTGAAATCTGGTCTATTTTTGAGATTTTTATATAGGATGTTTGTTGTAAAGCAGAATTTTGCTTTCCTGCCCAGTACTGACAATCTGTCCTCCTCAGGTGCTTCAATTCTGACTTCTTCACAGCAGTGCTCCTGTATAATCACCTCGTGATGGCTCCTGGTCTTTGGATGAGTGAGCAAGGGCCTCCTTTAAGGCATGGGCTCCGTCTCTATTTCTCCCCCTCTCTGGATGCCCTGCAAGGTTGCCATTACCTTCTGTATACTTGTGAGTTTAGGCCTGCCTTGAGTGCTCCTGACACTGATTTACACTGTGGTAACATCTTGATAGGGCCAAGAGCTCCAGGACACCAACCACTTGCTGTGAAGAGCTCAGGGAGAGAAGTCTCCTGAAGTTATTTGTAGCAAGGAGGAAGACAGCCCTTTCTTTTCTTTATTTCTTTTTTTTTTTTTCCTTTTTCTTCAAGCGAACCAAAATAAGTGCTTCTATACACAAATATTTCTGCAGTATCACCATACAGAAGGAGAGGGATGGGTGGCTCAACCCAGCCTACTTAGCCCAAAAGAATAACAGGTTTTTTTGGGTTGTTCTGATTTCTTAAAATATTTTGATTTGGGATTAAAGCCAAAAACCCTCAGCTATTTTCACAGCCCTAATTTGAGCTCTCAGGAGTGGGGTGTTGCCTCTGTCTACTGGAAGGAGAGATGATTCATCAACCTACAGAAGTCTCATTGCTCAAATCTCCTCAAAACATGTCTCTGCTGTCACCCACGGTGCAACATTACCCCACACCACACATCCTCTGGGAATCTGCCAGTCTCTCAAGGTTCTCTGCCTTCTTCCTGTCTGTGGCACTATTGCCCCTGTGCATGCTGAGCAGTGTTTATTTTGCACCTCGAGCACCTTGTGACAGCCAAGGGCATGGCAAAGTGACTGTGCAGCTGCGAAAGTCCTGTCTGGATCTCTGGCTCTGTCCTCTCTCCTCTCCCATCATCATCTGTAGTTTCATGGCTGTGCTGGCTGCTGGCACACACCTCACAGGAGCACAGACACAGACCCTCTGCAGCTGACTTGGCTCCAAGGGTTGCCCCAAATCAGTGGCAGCCACAGCTGCAGGGATTTCCCACTAGAAAGGAGGCAGTTAGACCTGATCCCACTGCTGGCACACCACAGCTACAGAACCAGCTGAAGCAAAGTGGTTGTGCTGCTTTTCCAGCTCTCCTTTCTCCTTTGAACCAGCTGGAAGGTGAACCAGCTGTAGGAGCTGCCCATAGACAATGTCCCTAGGCTGTAATTCAGAAGGGCCAGGATGTTAAAATAATTGAATACCTGACTTGTCTGAGCCTTGACAAGGTGGGAATTGCTAATTACTTTGAAGAGAGTGCCTTCAGAAGTGCACTGGCTGTGAGTTAACAGGGTGCAGAATCTTTTTCCTCCAGGCCTACAAAGTTTCTTCAGTCTCATGGACATGGGCTGGGTCTCCTGACACCTCACAAATGTGCCATTTTCCAGTGGCCACTGGTATGCTCAGAGCTGGTCTGGAATTACCCAGAAATAGCTTTTCCCATAGCAGTTACCTGGTTTTATGTATGAGACATTTTATTCTGTGTTGATTGTCCTATTTTGTTTTAACATAAGACACCTGAGATGAGTTCAGATATTTAAGAATTGGGATTGCACTTACAAGTAACACCCTACTTGAATCTGATTTGTCTTTCAAAGACAAAAATCAGGCTAGGAGCCAGTGGGGATGTTTGTCCCAGAGGGAAGCTTTTGCTGTAGCAGGACTGAGCTGTGCTGGTGGGGTTGGATTGGAGGTGTTTGCTGTCAGAGGGAGAAACAGAGGCTTTCAATCACAGTGATGGTAAAGGAGAAGTCTTTCACCAGCTTCAGGGTTTGTTTTGTTGTTTTTTTAGCTCTGTCAGGGCTTACTGATGAAAAGATGCACTGATTTACTGAACCAATTATGGGTAGAGCATGGCTGGTTGCTCCTGGTCTCAAAGTCCATCACCCAGGTGTCCTGGGCAGTGGCAAACTTGTGTTAGACCTGGCCTGAAATGAAACTGATGTAGCTGGAGAGCTGTTCTGGCCCTGTACCTACAAACTGGGAATGCAATTCCCCTGGCACAGACACACTCACAGGTTTGGGCTGGTAGGTGACTTTTCTATTTTTTATCAAAGGGAGGCTCTTACTTATTTTTTGTGTGCGTATTTAAATCTCTAGGTGAGAGGAGAAGACTGCTTGTTTTTCAGCTGTGAGAGAGGGGGTACCCTCGCCTTGGTGAGGATGTGTGTGGCAGCAGCAATCAAATCTCTGTCAGGTCAGCACCAAAACACCAAGAGCCTGAGCTGTGCCATGAAGACGATGGCTGGAAAGGGGCTTAGACTCAATGAGGTCTGTACTCTGTCCCCTCCCAAACACAGGGGCAGTCAGTCAGTCCACTGTGGAGAGATATGGCCAGAAAGCATCACAGATTTGCAGTCCTGGGAAGGGACATAGCAGAGGAGACACCCAGGATCTACATTAATGATAGCCCCAGGGTCTTGCTGGGTCCTCATTAGAGCAAGTGTTGATAAGATTCTCATCCTTATGGTGATGTCTGCTCTTTCATTCCTCCATCAGCAACACCTCCCACACCAACTGAGCTCAGTGTCCTGGAGAAGGGAGTGCTTAAAGGTGAGGTCAAGGTAATTTCAAGAGATGCTAAAAGAAAAAGTAAGGGCAGGCTGGCAGCCAGAAGAGGAAAATTGGCCCCATTGTTAAAGGAAGAAAAGAACATCAGAGATTTTAAAATGTCAGGAGTGGAGTAATGCTGTTTGCTCTTTGCTTATTGAGTAGAATTGGAGGGACATTTGCCTTAAATATACCTTCCATACAAATACAGAGAAACATGCTTTTTAGTGTACTTTAAACATAAGTTGTAATAGTCTCTGGATAAAAAGGCAGTCATTATTTCTTCGAGCACACTATCTACTGACGACCAAATGTTCCAGTGTGGCAGACTGGTGGCTTTAAAAATAGCTGTTCACTCCCAAGACTCTGAGCATGGCTGGGAGGTAAATTAAATGTTTGACTGTGAGCAGTCATTGATGTGGTCCAAGAGCTGCAGCCAGCAAATCCTCATTTCACTGAAGCCAGTGGAAACACAAGGCAGTGGGAAAAGGTTGCAGAAAGAGAGAGGATTTGGGCGTCTTCAGGAAGCTCCAAGTCTTTTGGGAGCTGTTTTAAAAATCATTACTTGCTGAACTGTTAAAAAATCCCAGGAAACTGGGTGGAAGGGCACTGTCAAGATGCCATCTTGGATGCCATGGCTGTGCCATTTCTTAAAGTACTTGTCCAATCTCTTGTTAAATATCCATAGACAGAGACCCCACGTGCCTCTGCTCAGCAGCTCCAGCTGCACCAACCCAAAGCTCTGCTGGGTTTTGTGTGAATCTCCCCTGTTGTAACTTGAGCACATTATTTTTGTCCTACCCACAGCTGTAATGGTGAGAAATGTATTTTTTCTTTTCTTCACATCCTTTGAATTCTTCTTCTCTTCTCCAGAAGAACATACCCACCTCTTCTGACCTTCCCAAGGTCAAGTTGTGGTTTTGGGTCCTTGCTCACCCCAGCTGTTGTCTCCACTGAACTCCCTTAAGCGAATTAAAGACCTTAAAATGCCTCCCAGCTGAATGCAAAAGTTGAAACAAAAATCTTACTGATGTTAAACAGACTTGAATTACTTCATGTGTCTTATCAGCTGCAATCCTGTTTGTATGTCACAGTACAGTATCTGACTTTTTCACAAGAACAATATTGATTTGCACTCAAGGTGTGACCCACTAAACCTTCAGGTCCTTTCCTACCCAGCTGATACCAAAGTAGCTTCTTATCTCCCATGAGCAGGAAAGCCTGTTCCTTCCTGTAGCTGAGAGTTCAAATTTGTCCTAATTGAATTTCATCCTACTTTTGTTTTTTCAGAATATTTATCTTTCTAATGATTTTTGAGGGGTAACTTATGATCCAGCACAGATTTGCCTGTCCCATACTAACTTACCACTCACTTATGATCCAGCACAGATTTGCCTGTCCCATACTGGAGCTATTTGCAAATATAATAAGCATCTTTTCTATCCCCACTCCCCACTACTCCCACCTTGTGCTCTGGACAGGCACTCCAGCATTAGTTTGTTCTTCATCCTGGATTTGATGCACATACATTTTCCAATGGAAATATACTTAACTGTGACAAAAGGGAGGGGACTCACTGGAAAGTTTCATTTTTGGCACAACAGCAATTTCATGAGAAATTTCAGGAAATGTGAAACTATTGATTTTGTCTCCACTTGTCAATTTTCAAAATAAAAAATTCCTTTTTTTTTTTCAGTCAAGTTTTTCTTTTCCACTCCTTACCCTCATCACCACCTCCTCTCAACTTTTCCTCCATGTGTTTGCCAGGGAAAGTACAATATTCAGATATTTTTTCCAAATCTTCTTTTTTCCACTGTCTAACCTTTCAAGACTTCAATTTGAAAAAGTTAAAGAATGGAAAAAAAACCCTGTGTAAACAAAAACTGCTGATTTTTCTAGGGCATGTGTGGCGCCACTCTTGTGCAGGGACGCAAGCAGGAGAATTCTAGTTAAGAAAAACTAACATTAATGTCACTCAGTGGCCAAGGGCAAGCAACAGGGAAGAAGGGAAAGCACTGCAAAAGCAAAATGCATTAAAAGGCTGGAAAGGTGTTCTGCTCTGAGCTGGCAATGCCTAAACACATTCACCATCTGAAAAGGGTTGATAATCTCCCTTCTTCCTGCCTTCCTTTGCTCTGGGCAGGTTTTTCTGATGGGCTGTATCTCCTCAGTCTGGTTCTTCTTCTCATGGGGGTGTCTGTGACACAGACAGGTCTGAGGCCCTCTGTAGCTTTCTGTGCCATCTCTGTAGGACTAGGCACATCATTTTCATACCATAGCAGCAGTAAGAATTTTCAGTGATCATGCCACAGGATGACAGCAAGTCTTTCTTTTTTTTTTTTTTTTAACTTCTTAACATTGCATGTAAAGAGCCAAGAAAAAACTGATTACAAAAGTACAAGGGATAAACTCCTCCATAAATTTAAAAAACAGCAGTATTACTTTTGGAGAGGGCGCAAATTGTGACTCAGAGCAGGACTGCTGAGTGGAGTTCAGCTGGCCAATGTGTCATCCCAGAGAGCAGCAAGGCTGCTTCTCTCATCTGCTGGATAATCCCATTCCCTGCTGAAGGCAGTAATTAAGGGCCATGTTTTCAGCAGCCCTACCAAAATAGGCTTGTTTGGCTGCAGGAACTGGACAAATTGCAGCATATGTAGGTAGCACCATGGCACAAGTCCTGATCTTCCACATGCACCCAGAGACACTGGGGGCTTATTTTGAGTGAGCCATTGGAGATGTGGCTGGAGCTGCCTGCATGCCCTGCACTGGAGCTGCAGCTGTGCCTACAGCCCACATCTCACTGGGAAAACTCACCACAATTCCCTGGCTGCAAGGATGACTGTAGAGGGTGGCAAGATTTCAAGACCCCTCTTGCCACATGGAAACAGGAAGAAATTCATTACAGAGAGTGTGGTGAGGCCCTGACATGGGTTACCTAGAGAAGCTGTCATGTCCCATCCCTGGAAATGTTCAAGGACAACCTGGATGAGCCTTGGAGCATCCTGGCCTACTGGAAAGGGTCCCTGGCTATGGCAGGGGTTGAAACAAGGTGATCTCTAAGACCTCTTCCAACCCAAACTGTTCTGTGATTCTATGTCTTGAGCACAAGGCAGCTGTTTCTTCCTACGCTTCCATGAGTTCAGCCTTAACTGTGACTGAAAACCAGAAGAGGTTGCTCAGGGAGGTGGTGGTGTCTCCATCCTTGGAGATATTCAGGGTCTGAGTGGCCCTAACACACTTCCAGTGCCCTGGCTGTGGCTGTTGCCCTGCTGAAAGCTCACTGCCAGATCTCTTCCCAGAGCTTATCAGACAGTGAAGATCATAAGCTCTGGGCTTTTCTGACAATAAACAACTGGAGTTTCCACTACCTTTCCTTTTCAAACAAACTGATGCATTTTATGATGGCAGTTGATAGACTACACTTATTTCAGTGTTATTGGAAATGCCCTGGTGATTTTTTCTTCATGTCCTTGTTAGAAATAATTTGTTTTGCTTTTCTAGGTAAGCAAGCACAAACATGACTCTCCCATCTCTGTCTTCAGATTTGGAGTAATCAAGTTAATTACTGACATTCTTTATAACACTTGGTAATTTCAGCCTAAAGACATTCTGACCTCGAAGGCTCTGAACACACAGGGACAAAGGAGAGGCTGATCCATTCTCAGGCAGACCCTGGTGAAGGCACAGTTAAAAACAAAAACTTTAAATATTCTGTTTAATTTAACTATCTCAACAATCTTCTGTTTACCACGTGGAAAACATTTTGTATGGCTTCTTAAGGGTTTGCCCAATGTTTTGAGCATCTTTCTCCTTTTTGCTTGCTGAATGGAGACCTCATCCTCTCACTTCTCTGTCTGGTGGAGCTGGAGATTTGGGATAGATACTCGTATATTAATTGTGCAATACAACATTTACTGAATAACCTGAAGCAGAGAGGTAAGTGATTGCAGACATCTTTATTGTCTGCTATTAATTGCTATACCTGTTGCACAGACCTGTTGGTACCACGGGATGTAGCAGTGAAAGATGAAATCATGGTAATTGCAATCTCCCCGCAAGCTATCATTTAATTTACATTTTAATTAATTTATGTTGAAGCAATTAAAGGCATGAAGGAAAGAACGTGCCAGTGTCAGTTGAGGACTGTGAGTCAAAGAGGAAAGTTTGGTTCAAGATGAAGTTCATATAAAAATAGTACTTTGTAATTTACAGTTCTGTCTATGTGACTTTTCTAAGTTCTTTGGAAACTTGAATAAAAGAAAAGAAAAGAAAGTTCTAGAATCCTGGTCATTTTGAGAGATCAGTGGCTTCCTTAGTTTTTAAATAGGGAAAGTGAAGCAGAGGGCATTTGAACATCAGTTCTTTGAGCCCAAGGATAAAAGCCACAGCAGAGCTGGAAATCAGATCCTGGGCTGTAGAACAGTCCAGGTATCTTCCTTACAAGAGCATTCTTCCAACTGGCACACAGATAGGAATTATGAAAGACATGTTTGTGTGAGTAGGGTGTTGTCTTTGCTACACAGATCTCATAACCTGGCCTTTGGCTGCCCAGCCATTTGGTGTTCTCAGAAAATGGCTGTTAATAATGACAGTGTTGCTAGGTCCTGTGATTTTAATATTCATTGTTTTCTAAAATCTCAGGTCTTAAATGCAGATGCTTCATTTCTTTTTAAATGAAACTTTAAAGAACTTAAATGTATCTTTGAATCACACCCAGTGTAGTATATCTTGACTTTTCCAAGCCACCTCCACAGTTCTGAAGGACAGATTTGGGACTTTCAGTGTTGCTGCTGTTGTACATGAAATGGGAATGAGCCTGGAGGTGCTGAGCTGCTCTGAGCAGTTGGCAAGAAGTGACTGCCACTTGAACAGGGGGACAGCAATGCTGACTTCAGCTGTTTGGACAATAGATTGGTTCAGCTCTGAGTGCCAAAGTGGGGAAAGAAAGCAGCTGGGTTTGCTGTAATGGGAAATACAAACATCTGAGAATTAGGTGCTTTCACAGCAGCAGCAAATGCAGGAAACTGCTTACACTGATGAGGAGACTCAGTCACCAGGAGGTATTAGGCTAAATCTGTGCTGAGGTGCAGCAAAGATATGACAGGAGATTTATGGTCTTTTCACAGGGAATTGTCTGTTCCCCTGTTATACTCCTATAAATTGTATAAGGAAGGACACAGGCAGAGAATTTTTTGTTTGCTTGATACAGACAGGGGTAGCACACAGCCCAGCCTTGGAGGTGATGAAGAGAGAGGGCTGATCCCCAGAAAGCACCGGTCTCCATGGAGGAAGACACAACCAGGCTGGAGAAACCCAGGGAGAAAAACCATCTTTGCAGCAGCACTCTGAACTGAAAAAATAATTTACTTCTATGCTGACTAATTTTGATTTTTTCTATACTGAAGGAGTTTCTGTTCTCTTCTGCTCACAAACCCTGGCTCTCAAATTTTGTATATTTGTAGAGCTCAGGGTGGGGAAAAGGGCCGGGTGGGTCCCATCAAGATTTGTCTGACTCATGTCTATCAGGAGAGGCAGTGGAGACAGGTCTGACAGGCGTGGCCAGGAGCCCCATGAGCAACCAGGCTGCAAGGACACTTCTGCCACCAGCATGGGCATGGTCAGAGCTGGCTTGGACACTCTGTGTGTGCTTGCTTGGACACAATTCCATCCCCTGGGGAAGGCAGCATGTTCGTGTCCTCAAGGGGGCTTGCAGAGCTATTGGTGTAGGAGCTAACCCACTTTTTCTGGTGTTCCTCCCTGCCCTGTACCTGCAGGGATCACGTCTCCATCTTTCCCTGCTGTTCCTTGGCCGGGCAGGCTGCAGGTTTTCCAGAGCAAACTCTCCAGAGTTTGCTCCCTGCCTCCTCACAGAGCCTCAGGGACGGTGTGTCCCTGCCGAGCCACTGCCTGGATGGGGCTGCTCTGGCTGCTGTGAGCCTCCAGCCCATGAGCATTTCCACACCACTACAGCCAGAGAGATGAGGCATTCCGAACCAGTCCTGGGCTGGGCAGAGACTGTGCTTTACCTTCACAGAGTGCAAAGAGCCACTGAAATCAGGAGACCCCGGGCTGGAGAGGGATGGGAACAGGAGAGAGCTTCCTGCGTCCCTCGGCCCGTGCAAAGAGCCGCTGACATCAGGAGACCCCGGGCTGGAGAGGGATGGGAACAGGAGAGAGCTTCCTGAGTCCCTCAGCTGGTGGCAGCACTAGAAAACAGGGCCCGTGGTGCCTGGGCTGGGGACACGTGGCACCAGCTGCTGGGGGGACAGCGAGGGCAACCACAAGGAGCAGCCAGGCAGACAATTGTCTTTGTCCTGAAGGGAGGAGGTCGGGTGGAAAAAACCATGAGAGATGGGATGAAAATCAGTGAGGAGAACAAGGTCCGTGGGCCAAATCTGCCGCAGCTGCCAATGTCATCAACGGCAGGGCTGGCGGGAGCCACCCTTTCCAAACACGGCAGAGGACGTTGGATGCTCTCCCAGAAGCTGTGCTGCAAACCCACCCAGAACGCTCACGACACAGGCAAAGAGAAATATTATTCTCATATTTTAAAAATACAAAGTCTGATAAGATATCAAGAAAATGGTGCCGGTTCGGCCCTGCTCCCGCTGCCGGGGGATGCAGCATGTCACCCTGGTCTGGGGACAGAGACACAGATGTTGCACTGAGTGTGGCAGGGCAGGTGCCCAGGACTGAAGGGATGCTCTCTGCCAGGGAGCTGCTGGGAGAGTGAAGGCAGGGTGGGATGCATGGAGGCCCTTGGATTGTCCTCCTGCAGAAACAGAGCTGAGGCCTGGCCTCGCCGCGGTGACCATGAGCTGCCTGGTGGGTCTGGGCAGCTCCTCCTGCCAGCCAAGCACCCGCTTCTGACACGGCTCCTGTCCTCACCCTGTCCCCTGAGACTGCCCCAGGACACTCCCATGGGGGAGAAGCTGAGCTTCCACATCAAGTCAAACCAGATGGGGACTGAGAGTGGGCTTGCACCACCCCTCAGTTCACCCCTGGGTGTTAAGCCACAAAAAGCCCTGCACTGCCAGGCCCTGAGCTGCAAGAAATACTCCCAGAATTTCCTCCTCTGCCCCTGCTCCCATGCTGTCCTGCCCATCACTTCCCAGCTGCCTGTGGAAGAATCTTTGTGTTACCCCAGCTCCAGATGTTGGAAGCACTGACACTTGTTCAAATCCATCCCTGCAGATCATTAACATGGGAGAGCAGTTTTGTGAGGAGAGGTGAAAATTTTATTAACGTTCTTTTCATGTGGAAATTATACTTCTTCTCCATAGTCTGAGTGATGAAAGAGAACAGCTGTGTCAATAGTCCATAATGGGAGAGAAAAAGAATTGTTAACAGCCATATTGGCTCTTAGAGAATGTTCACAGGCTTTGTTAGAAGCTGGCTGCACAGCATTAAAGTATTGAGGGGGTGAGGGGTACAGGTGTGCTCAGAGCATCCCCCAGCCCCTGCAAGGCACATGTAAAACTGAGCTGCAGGTGAGGCCAAAGTGTCCAATGAAGATCAGAGCTCAGATGCCATCCAAGATTTCCTGTCTGGGACTTGGGGAATGCAAAAGGTGCTCATCCATGCTGCTGAGAAAGTGCTGCTTACGGGGGGAAAGGAGCAGATCAGGGCAGATGTCACTGAAGGAAGAAAGACAAATGTCTGGGGAAATCTCATGCAAGAGGTTTATCCTTGGTCAGAAGGTTCTGGACCATGAATATCAGAGCAGAGGTAAAGAGCAGTCGCTGCTTGGTCCTGCAGAGACTACAGCCTGCAAAAAGGAGCTGAATTCATATCCCCTGCAATTGCTTTGTGCAAGTTGAGGAGGATTTTGAAAATAATTGGATTTTTTTTTTTCATATTTTTCAGCTCTATATTTACCTATTTTCTCTTCAAATGCTTATTACCCTTGCAGTAGATATTCCTTTTTATTTGCTCCTCCTACAATTCCAGGGTAATAAGCATTGCTTACATTAGAGTTCAGGTTGTTTTTTTCACAGCTTTCTTTAGCTGAAAACCTTAGAAGCACTTTCCTAGGTAAAATACTGAAGCTTCACATTTGCGTTAAGTTGGCAGGTGTCACAGAAAGTTTTATTCTGAAATGTAGTGACATCAAATTAAAAATATAATCTCTCTGTCATCTAAATGAATGCTTTTCCATGCAATACTCAATGTGATTATTGCAGAGAGGGTAGAGAGAAAATATTTCTATGTTCTTTTCATTTTTTGTGGAAATCCCTCATGACCCTAATGCCACAAGTTTTCCATGTCGTTTTCTTCATATCTTATGCAGTGAGATGCTTTATCTTAATTTTAAACATCCAAAACCTCAAAAAATTAAGAGGTTCTTCTTCAAGAAACCTCTTTTTTTCCCACTGACTTCAAAGAGAATAGCCTTGTGCCACCTGGCATATCCCCATGGGTCAGGGAGTGAGCAAACAAGGTGGAAGGAAGCCCTCCCTGCCCACAGGTACATCTGAAAACTTTGTTTTGTGTGTCCTGTATATTTAATAGAACAACTTGGAGGTTCATAGCTATTTGTTGTGGCAGTTAAGCTGCTCAATGCTTCTTTGGGCAAGTGCTCACACATTTCTCCTTCCTCTGGGAGAAAGGCAGGAGCTCTTCAGAGCAGAGTGGCAGAAATTAAGAAGGTCGTCAAAGATGGCACTTGATTAGCGACCCCTTCATGGCCTATCCTCTGCATTTGATGTGGGCAATCAGGAGAAGGTGTTGCCAAGGCTACCAGATATTGTCAGTCTGCCTTCCAGGTCCTCTGTGGCTTCTCTTCTCCCCCTAATTGTGCCCACACGTTCTGTTTAAATACCATCTGCCTCAGCTGCAATTTGCACAAGTGTCTCAAGGGCCTTTGCTCCTGATTCTCCAGTAATCTGCCCTTTGTATGCTAACCCTCTACAAGATGGTCTTGTTACAGGGAAAATACACTTGTCTTCGAAGAATGATAAAATAAGAAAGTGAAGTAACAAAAGGCAAGCAGGTCAAATCTGAGATCAGTGCTGCCTGAGCCAGATTCCCTTACAGATAATTCCTGAAAATATCTTGTGATCAAGCAGCAAAGCAAGAATTTGTCATAACCTCTGAAAGGGTTAAAGAAGACCTAGTCTTTATTGAAGATCTATCTGCTGCCCATTACTGCTTATATTCTGCAAGTGAAACCCCGACTGGTATCAGCAGGATGGTCAAATGGGGAGTAATAACTTTGCACAGTGACCCATAGCAGCAATGTGGATCCAACCAGGTTTGAAACTGGTTGAGTTTCACAGGTTAGATGCTGATCTCTTTCTGCTTTCAGCTTCTCTTTCCACAGGTTTTGTCTATTTTATATAAAATAAATTTAAGGTGGGCTTGTGGGGTTGGTGCTGACATATAACATCCTTTATACAACCAGTCTGATCCCAACACCACTGGAAAATTATTTAAAAGTAGGACTAGTCCTTCCCGGCAAGTACACAGTAAGATAGTTTTCAGTGTCTTACCAATACCTGTGCATTTCTTGTAGAATACAGGAAGAATATATGTAATAGCCAAATAAGTAGAATTTATTAATAATTGCTGGTTCCTCCTTCTTGCTCTTATACTCCTACAGGAGGTTAAGCAATACTTTTGCTGAGAGCATTGTCTTTGGAAAGACTCACTAGCATTCTGCTCTGGGCTGTCCAGCTAAGGCTACCCTTTATTCAAGCTGCTTGGCTGATGCTTCTAAGACCCTTTTCTTATTTTTGTTTAGTTTGCAGTCTTTTCCTGTTTGGGTAACATTAAGAGCATTCTGACTGAGACAGGTCAGAATATATTTACTGTATACCTAAAATGTTAGCCTAAAGTAGCAGTTTCTGAGAATAAAGCAGAAGAAAGCATAAAGTTTTGCCAATTTTGTGAAAGAATGGCAGGAATGATTTGAAATTTGATGGGTGTGTCATATCAAGATGGTATTACTCTGTAAAAAATTCCCCTAAATGAAACCAAATGAGTGAACTTTCAAATATTCCCAGTTTGCACAGGAAAAGCTTTTCTGTATTTCACAGGTGATTTCTTCAAGCCTCTCCATTCCACAAGCTCTGTGTACTGCAGGGAAGGCTGCCTCGAAGCAGTGTTGCAGCCTCAGTTCCTCACAATCATTTCTGCACATCACCAGAGCTCTGGGTCCAGTCTGCAGCTTCCCTCAGGGTCCAGCAGGAGCAGATGTTTTCTTCAAACAAAGCCAGCAAAGAGATTTTTCACTTCATCCCTTGTGATGATGTCTTACATTGCTTTGTATCTGCAAACCAAGTGCTGTGCCTTGTGTCAAGTGAAGGAAGAGTGGTTAGGGAAAATTTGGAGCTGCAAGGCTTCTCTTCTGAGTGTGACTCTGT